TTGGGTTTTGCCAACTACTATCGGAAATTCATCAGAAATTTCTCCACGCTGGCAAAACCTCTCTCAGACCTAACCAAGAAGGGCAGCAATCCTCACGAGTGGCCATCCGAGGCCATCGTAGCTTTTGAGGCTCTGAAATCCGCCTTCGCTTCGGCTCCGATACTGTCTCATCCCAATCCTGGATTGCCCTTCGTTCTTGAGGTTGATGCATCCGAGACAGGAGTAGGCGCTCTCCTGTCTCAACGTCGGTCGCCCGATGGACCCCTACTTCCCTGTGGGTTCTACTCCAGGAAGCTTTCCTCTGCAGAGTGCAACTACCAGATTGGAGATAGGGAGTTGTTGGCAATCATTCTGGCTCTCAAGGAATGGAGGCACCTGCTCGAGGGCTCCGCAGTTCCGGTCCTCATTCTTACCGATCATAAGAACCTGACTTATCTTTCGGAGGCCAAAAGATTGACACCCCGTCAAGCCAGATGGGCCTTGTTCTTGTCACGGTTCAACTATGTGGTCTCCTATTTGCCTGGTTCCAAGAATGTCAGGGCTGATGCATTATCGCGGCAATACTCTGAATTGTCCAGGGAGGACTCTGAGCCAACCTCGGTCATACCTCCGGATCATATCCTGGCTGCCATTCGTACCAGTCTGACTTCTCCCCTTGGGGAGCAGATTTTGGCGGCTCAAACTGACGCTCCTCCCGAGAGACCGGAGGGTAGATGTTTTGTACCCGAGGGGTTGCGCACCCGTCTGCTGCGTACCTACCATAACTCCAAAACTGCCGGGCATCCGGGGAGGAACCAGTTGTCTTGGGTCGTCTCTCGGTTGTTCTGGTGGCCAACTCTCCGTGCCGACATCGCCTCTTATGTAGAGGCATGTTCGATCTGTGCCCAGAATAAATCTCCACGGCATCTTCCAATGGGTCTTCTGCAACCCATTCCCAATGGGGAGCGTCCTTGTCACACCTGGGCATGGACTTTATTGTAGACCTCCCTGTGTCTCGGGGCCATACGGTCATCCTCATGGTCGTCGATCGTTTTTCCAAAATGTGCCATTGTATTCCACTCAGGAAATTACCAACAGCGCAAGAACTGGCCACGGTCTTTTCCAGGGAGATTTTTCGCCTGCATGGGTTGCCCAAGGTGATTGTCTCGGACCGCGGGAGTCAGTTCGTGTCCAGATTCTGGCGCGCCTTCTGCTCCCAGTTGGGCATTAGTCTCTCCTTTTCTTCAGCCTACCACCCGCAGTCCAATGGGGCTGCGGAGCGTTCCAATCAGGCCTTAGAACAATTCCTTCGGTGTTATATCTCGGACCATCAGGACGATTGGGCCGATCTCCTGCCTTGGGCTGAGTTTGCCAGGAACTCAGCGGTCAACTCCTCCTCCGGGATGTCCCCCTTCATGGCCAACTATGGGTACCAACCCGCGGTATTACCTGAGAGGTTCTCACCACAGGACATTCCGGCTGTGGAGGACCATCTTGCTGCCCTGCGTTCTTCATGGGGGCAGATCCAGAGGGCTTTGAGGGACTCGGCTCAGCGTCAGAAGTTCCAGGCTGATCGCAGACGGTTGCCCGCTCCTTCATACCAGGTCGGCGATCGGGTGTGGTTGTCTACTCGTAACCTCAATCTTCGGGTGCCCACACCCAAACTAGCTCCCCGTTTTGTCGGTCCTTTTCGCATTCTCCGCAAGGTGAATCCGGTGGCCTATGCCCTTGCCCTTCCACCTGGGATGCGGATCTCCAATATCTTTCATGTATCACTGTTGAAACCTCTGATCTGCAATCGCTTCACTACCTCTCTGCCTCGGCCCCGTCCCATTCGGGTTGACGGTCATGAGGAGTATGAGGTGAGCCGGATCCTGGACTCTCGATTGGTGCGCGGCCGATTACAGTTCCTGGTTCATTGGCGCGGTTATGGTCCCGAGGAGCGTTCCTGGGTTCCTTCCGCGGATGTCCATGCTCCTGCCCTCCTCCGCGCGTTTCATACCCGCTTTCCTCGGAAACCTTTTGTTGAGCCGCGGAGGGGGAGGGGCCCTTGAGGAGGAGGTACTGTCAAGGTCCTACCTTTTCCCAGAGGTTATGTTACTCCATGTGCTAGCATCCATCTTGGATTTCTGCTGAGCATGATGGGAATCTTTTATGCCTTCAGGTCTCTGAGGTCCATCCCCCAGAGGGGTGTGGCTGAGTACATATAAGCCTGGGATCTGCACATGCTCTTTGCACTTGTGTCTTGTGTCTTTGTCTTGCTACAGCTCTGTGTATACGCTCGTGACTCTTCTGGTATTCTGACTCGGCTTGTGACTAAGACCATTCTCTGCGTTTCCCTTTGATCTGACCTTCCGTTGCTGAACCCGGCCCGTGACCTGTGATTCTCTGTCTACTGTTCTGTACTGTTTTGTCCCGTTGTTATTGACCCGGCTTGTCTGACTACGCTATTGTCATTCTCACCAACTACACGCCATTGGCGGCGGCCATTACCGCAGCTGGGGTGTCTCGGGGGCCGCGACCTGGTCCCTGGTTGCGTCAAGTCCATCCCCACCATCAGGGGCCCTGGTGAAGGGCAGCCTGGGACTTAGACTCCGCGCCCTGAGGGACTTCAGTCTGTTGGTGGTGGTTGTCGTCAGCCAGTGCGTTACCCTGCCACTAGGCCTACCTGTCCGTTCCACAGCCCTGCCCTGACAGTGCCTTCATAGTTCCAGGTCCAATGCCACTTGACAGAGCCATCGGTATGATTTCAAGAGTGTCATTTTGACCACCACTGTAAGCGAAGTACTCTTCCCATTTACCCCCACCAATGGAAGCAAAATTTTTCCATTGAACCCCATGGAAATATTTTTCTACGGGTTCCCTGAGACCTAAAACATTATTTCAAGGGTTCCTCTGGGGTAAAAAGGTTGAGATCCTGAATACGGCTGCCAGACTCATTCACCTTTCCAACCGCTCCATTTCCGCCACCCCCCTCTGCCAATCCCTCCACTGGCTTCCGATTGCGCAACGGATCAAATTCAAAATCCTAACACTGACGTACAAAGCTGTCCACCATACTACCCCGAACTACATCACTGACCTAATATCCAAGTACCGCCCAACACGCACACTCCGCTCCTCACAAGACCTCCTTCTCTCTAGTTCCCTGGTCTCCTCCTCCCATGCCCACCTCCAGGACTTCTCCAGGGTGTCACCCATCCTCTGGAACTCCCTGCCCCAACCCATCCAATTATCACCTACTCTCCTCTCCTTTAGGCGCACCCTGAAAACCCATCTCTTCAGGGAAGCCTACCCCACCCACTGCTAACTTGCCGACCTCCTCCACTCTTCCTACCACTCCATCCCCCACAGCTATCTCCTCCTGTGCCACCATCCCCTCCCTCCTAGATTGTAAGCTCGAAAGAGCAGGGCCCTCGATCCCCTCATGTTTTGCATTGTATTGGTATTGTTCTGTCACATGTTCTGTCCCCCTTTGTAATGTACAGCGCCGAGCGAACTATTGGCGCTTTATAAATACTGTATAATAATAACTTAAAGTAACAGATTTACTTAATAGTCCCACGTCTTAGTTTGCCCAATGGAGAAAAGTGAAATTCCCAAGTACAGGGAAACATGTGTCTCTTCCCTGCCTTCCTCCCATGATGCAGCACTAGGTACCTGAGTGTCCAGTCCCCAAGCCTGAGCATTGGAGGAACAAATGCAAATTACGTATGAGCAGCAAAGTAACAGGTATCCTATATCCTCTTTATCCTAGCTAAGGCCTATATTTGAAGCTGGTATACTATGGTTAGAGGCAATCGGGTGATCCACCTCTCTTTCCTGGCTGTAGGACCTGTAGTAGATTTGACCATCCAGCATGATCCTGGGCATTCAGATGTTGGGGGACTCAATGGTAGCAGTCATATGAGGGTGATGTACATGTGCCCCTTTATTTATTACAGGTACTTATATAGCACTGCCAATTTACACAGCGCTTTACATATATATTGTACATTCACATCAGTCCCAAACCCTGAAGGAGTGTACAATCAAAGGTCCCTCACATTCAGGGGCGGACTGACCATTTAGCCACTGGGGCACTGCCTGAGGGCCCGGGTCGATAGGGGCCCCATGAGATGCCCCTGGTACCTTTCATATGCTTTTTTGGGTGTGGTTTGAGTGTGGGCAAGGACACAGGGGCCCCATGATTTCCTATTGCCCGTGGGCCCCATGAGTTGTCAGTCTGCCCCTGCTCACATTCATACATACATACACATATAATAGGACTGATTTAGACAGGATCCAATTAACCTACCAGTATGTCTTTGGACTGTGGGAGGAAACCACAAATTCCCATTCCAAATTCCAGGCATGTGGTGCTGTGGTTGGGATTCAAACCAACAACTCTGGTGCTGCCAGGTGGAAGTGCTAACCATTTAGCCACTGTGCAGCCTCTAGGAGGCAATTGGGTGATTCACTTCTCAATCCTACCTGTAGAACCCGTCATAGATTTGACCATCTGCCATGATCCTGGGCAGCCATCCGCCATGATCCTGGGCAGCCATCCGCCATGATCCTGGGCAAATGCTGGACACTCAGATGTTGGGGGACTCAGTAGTAGCAGTCATATAAAGGCGATGTACATGTGTCATTGTGGCCCTTGATCTCAGCTTCCATTCTGGCCATTCAGTGTCTGAATGGTTGTTTGTTGAACTAAAGAAAAAGACACATGTGGAGAGAAAGTCTACAACAATTCCATCCTAAATGGTCAACCATTCATAGATTTCATTTGTCCATAGGTGATCCATCCTCCCTCAATCCCTGTCACTTTCTTCAGTCTGAAAGCTGCTAACTCAGGGAAAACCAGAAGAAAGGATTGAATAGAGGGTGTTAAATTCCTCAAAGATATGTTTCCAGGAGGAGGCTGCTGTCTCCTCTTCATGACGGATGGCTCTTTTAGTTTGAAGTGTCCTTGTCTGGAGAGCCTGTTTGTTATTTAATGAAGTGCCTGATTTTGTTTCCTCTTTGTGTCTATTCAGAGCCTGGCCAAATGGGAGAGTGAAAACAAAATGGTGTGTGAGCAGCGACTTCTGAAAGGGGATGGACCCAAGACCTCCTGGTCCAGAGAGCTGACCAACGATGGAGAGAACTCATCCTGGTAAAGATAACCTGTCTGTGGCACCTTTCCAAGAAAACAAAATTTTCCAAATCCAATCCAGAACTTATAACCGATATAAAGGACTTATTTACTAATAGAGAAAATACATTCAAATTAAAATGTCTAGCGACTGATGGATATCAAATAAAAGTAAGAGGAAGATTGTAAGAAGTCACATAAAAACACGTTACTATATATCATGTTTCCCTGTAGTTTTGGATAGCTGAAAATGAGTAGAGGAGGTAAGGGGAAATATTATAGTAGGGACAACTATTCCAGTGACAACTGTCTAAGAGGGGATTTCTCCTTGCTCTGGGAAGATTTCCATTCACTTCCTGATGTGTCTGTAGGACAGGAAACAAAGGAAAATCTCCTCAATGAGACACAGACATATAAAAAACAGGGATTCTTATCCCGTACCTATTCTCAAAACAAAACAACAAATTGTGGCAATAGATACTCATATAGGACTACCGTATTTTCCGGCGTATAAGACGACTGGGCGTATAAGATGACCCCCTACTTTTCCTGTTAAAATAGAGGGTTTGAGCTATATTCGCCATATAAGACTACCCCTCTTCCAACACACACCAAAATAAAAATGAAAAAAACATCAGATTTGATTTCAGTATGGTATTCCAATGATGGGGTGCTATTCCTCTCACTGACACCAATGATGGGGCACTATTCCTCTCACTGACACCAATGATGGGGCACTATTCCTCCCACTGATACCAATGATGGGCACTATTCCTCCCACTGATACCAATGATGGGGCACTATTTCATCCACTGACACCAATGATGGGGCACTATTCCTCCCACTGATACCAATGATGGGGCACTATTTCATCCACTGACACCAATGATGGGGCACTATTCCTCCCACTGATACCAATGATGGGGCACTATTCCTCCCACTGACACCAATGATGGGGCACTATTTCATCCACTGACACCAATGATGGGGCACTATTCCTCCCACTGATACCAATGATGGGCACTATTCCTCCCACTGATACCAATGATGGGGCACTATTCCTCCCACTGACACCAATGATGGGGCACTATTCCTCCCAATGATACCAATGATGGGCACTATTCCTCCCACTGATACCAATGATGGGGCACTATTCCTCCCACTGATACCAATGATTTGCACTATTCCTCCCACTGATACCAATGATGGGGCACTATTCCTCCCACTGATACCAATGATGGGGCACTATTTCATCCACTGACACCAATGATGGGGCACTATTCCTCCCACTGATACCAATGATGGGGCACTATTCCTCCCACTGATACCAATGATGGGACACTATTCATTCCCACTTACACCAATGATGGTGCCCCATCATTAGTGTCAGTGTGTGAGGAATAGTGCCCCATCATTAGTCAGTGGGAGGAATAGTGCCCCATCATTGGTGTCAGTGAGAGGAATAGTGTCCCATCATTGGTGTCAGTGGGAGGAATAGTACCCCATCATTGGTGTCAGTGGGAGGAATAGTGCTCCATCATTGGTGTCAGTGGGAGGAATAGTGCTCCATCATTTGGTGTCAGTGGGAGGAATAGTGCTCCATCATTGGTATCAGTGGGAGGAATAGTGCCCCCATCATTAGTCAGTGGGAGGAATAGTGCCCCATCATTGGTATCAGTGGGAGGAATAGTGTCCCATCATTAGTCAGTGGGAGGAATAGTGCCCCATCATTAGTCAGTGGGAGGAATAATGCCCCATCATTGGTGTCAGTGGGAGGAATAGTGCTCCATCATTGGTATCAGTGGGAGGAATAGTGCCCCATCATTGGTGTCAGTGAGAGGAATAGTGTCCCATCATTAGTCAGTGGGAGGAATAGTGCCCCATCATTAGTCAGTGGGAGGAATAGTGCCCCATCATTGGTGTCAGTGAGAGGAATAGTGTCCCATCATTGGTGTCAGTCCGGGGAATAGTACCCCATCATTGGTGTCAGTGGGAGGAATAGTGCTCCATCATTGGTGTCAGTGGGAGGAATAGTGCTCCATCATTGGTGTCAGTGGGAGGAATAGTACCCCATCATTGGTGTCAGTGGGAGGAATAGTGCTCCATCATTGGTGTCAGTGGGAGGAATATAGCGGCCCATCATTGGTATCAATGGGAGGAATAGCACCCCATCATTGGTTTCAGTGGGAGGAATAGCGCCCCATCATTGGTGTCAGTGGGAGGAATAGCGCCCCATCATTGGTGTCAGTGGCAGGAATTGCGCCCCATCATTTGGTGTCAGTGTGGGAGGAATAGTGCCCCATCATTGGTATCAGTGGCAGGAATTGCGCCCCATCATTGGTGTCAGTGGGAGGAATTGCGCCCATCATTGGTGTCAGTGGGAGGAATTGCGCCCCCATCATTGGTATCAGTGGGGAGAATAGTGCCCCATCATTGGTGTCAGTGGGAGGAATTGCGCCCCATCATTGGTGTCAGTGGGAGGAATTGCGCCCCATCATTGGTATCAGTGGGGAGAATAGTGCCCCATCATTGGTGTCAGTGGGGAGAATAGTGCCCCATCATTGGTGTCAGTGGGGAGGAGGAATAGTGCCCCATCATTGGTGTCAGTTGGGAGGAGGAATAGTGCCCCATCATTGGTATCAGTGGGGGAGACTGTGCCTCATCGTTGGTGTCAGTGGGGGAGGAACAGTGCCTCATCGTTGGTGTCAGTGTGGAGGAGGAATAGTGCCCCATCGTCAGTGTCAGTGGGGGAGAGAGGAGCGGCTGCTCCTTCTTCCAGTTCGGCCGCTCGATTTTCACGGGGCCGCTCGGCTCCGCCTCCTCGCCGGTGATTGGTCACAGACATATAAAAACAGGGATTCTTATCCCGTACCTATTCTCAAAACAAAACAACAAATTGTGGCAATAGATACTCATATAGGACTACCGTATTTTCCGGCGTATAAGACGACCCCCTACTTTTCCTGTTAAAATAGAGGGTTTGAGCTATATTCGCCGTATAAGACTACCCCTCTTCCAACACACACCAAATAAAAATGAAAAAACATCAGATTTGATTTCAATATGGTATGCTATTTCAGTATGGTATTCCAATGATGGGGTGCTATTCCTCTCACTGACACCAATGATGGGGCACTTTTTCATCCACTGATACCAATGATGGGACACTATTCATTCCCACTGACACCAATGATGGGGCACTATTCCTCCCACTGATACCAATGATGGGACACTATTCATTCCCACTGACACCAATGATGGGGCCCCATCATTAGTGTCAGTGTGTGAGGAATAGTGCCCCATCATTAGTCAGTGGGAGGAATAGTGCCCCATTCATTGGTATCAGTGTGTGAGGAATAGTGCCCCATCATTAGTCAGTGGGAGGAATAGTGCCCCATCATTGGTATCAGTGGGAGGAATAGTGCCCCATCATTGGTATCAGTGGGAGGAATAGTGCCCCATCATTAGTCAGTGGGAGGAATAGTGCCCCATCATTGGTGTCAGTGAGAGGAATAGTGTCCCATCATTGGTGTCAGTGGGAGGAATAGTACCCCATCATTGGTGTCAGTGGGAGGAATAGTGCTCCATCATTGGTGTCAGTGGGAGGAATAGTGCTCCATCATTGGTGTCAGTGGGAGGAATAGTGCTCCATCATTGGTATCAGTGGGAGGAATAGTGCCCCATCATTAGTCAGTGGGAGGAATAGTGCCCCATCATTGGTATCAGTGGGAGGAATAGTGTCCCATCATTAGTCAGTGGGAGGAATAGTGCCCCATCATTAGTCAGTGGAGGAATAATGCCCCATCATTGGTGTCAGTGGGAGGAATAGTGCTCCATCATTGGTATCAGTGGGAGGAATAGTGCCCCATCATTGGTGTCAGTGAGAGGAATTGTGTCCCATCATCGGTATCAGTGGGAGGAATAGTGCCCCATCATTAGTCAGTGGGAGGAATAGTGCCCCATCATTGGTGTCAGTGAGAGGAATAGTGTCCCATCATTGGTGTCAGTCCGGGGAATAGTACCCCATCATTGGTGTCAGTGGGAGGAATAGTGCTCCATCATTGGTGTCAGTGGGAGGAATAGTGCTCCATCATTGGTGTCAGTGGGAGGAATAGTAACCCCATCATTGGTGTCAGTGGGAGGAATAGTGCTCCATCATTGGTGTCAGTGGGAGGAATAGGCCCATCATTGGTATCAATGGGAGGAATTAGCACCCCATCATTGGTTTCAGTGGGAGGAATAGCGCCCCATCATTGGTGTCAGTGGGAGGAATAGCGCCCCATCATTGGTGTCAGTGGCAGGAATTGCGCCCCATCATTGGTGTCAGTGGGAGGAATAGTGCCCCATCATTGGTATCAGTGGCAGGAATTGCGCCCCATCATTGGTGTCAGTGGGAGGAATTGCGCCCCATCATTGGTGTCAGTGGGAGGAATTGCGCCCCATCATTGGTATCAGTGGGGAGAATAGTGCCCCATCATTGGTGTCAGTGGGAGGAATTGCGCCCCATCATTGGTGTCAGTGGGAGGAATTGCGCCCCATCATTGGTATCAGTGGGGAGAATAGTGCCCCATCATTGGTGTCAGTGGGAGAATAGTGCCCCATCATTGGTGTCAGTGGGGGAGGAGGAATAGTGCCCCATCGTTGGTGTCAGTTGGGAGGAGGAATAGTGCCCCATCATTGGTATCAGTGGGGAGAACTGTGCCTCATCGTTGGTGTCAGTGGGGGAGGAACAGTGCCTCATCGTTGGTGTCAGTGTGGAGGAGGAATAGTGCCCCATCGTCAGTGTCAGTGGGGGAGAGGAGCGGCTGCTCCTTCTTCCAGTTCGGCCGCTCGATTTTCACGGGGCCGCTCGGCTCCGCCTCCTCGCCGGTGATTGGTCGCCTGTGTGCCTTTCCAGTGCTGGCGCCCAATCACCGGTGAGGAGGCGGAGCCGAGCGACCGCGTGACCATCGAGCGGCCGAACTGAAAGAAGGAGCAGCCGCGATTCCTGGACCGGATCGTCGTGGGACTGGAGCCAGGTAAGGT